AAAAAAAAAAAAAGACAGACCCCTAAAAAGAATGGGGTCAGATGGAATCCTCAAAGACTAGCTGGAGTTGGAAAAAAGCACAACTAGTGCCAGTTCTCCACTCAGCACACTGTAACATGATTTACCAACTCTGTCGTCAGTGCTGAAATATCCATTAATATTGAAAAGCTTTGGTAAGTAACATTAATATTTCCAAAAGCAAAAAGGAATATTTAACCTTACCAGTATCCTCCACATTTCACTCCCCTGCAAGATAACAGGAGAGGTATGAACCCTGATCCAGCCACAACAAAATGGAAACACTGCCCTGCACACCAAGCATACCTCCCAGGGTGGTAGCTCCAGCAAGGCCTCGTCGGACATTCATAGGGGCTACAGAATACCAGACTCCATCCTCATCTGCTGTATAGTCTAGACATTCCACTGAACTGAGGCGGGAACGGCCATCATAGCCACCAATCACATAGATCCGATCATGTAGGGACACTGAAGCCACATAACGTCTCTTACGAGTGATGCTCTATAGATTTAGGAGAGAAGAGGTACAAGTCGTTTTAGGCATGCAAGTATTAGACTTTACCTTTTGCTAACCCTCCTGCTTTTATCTACATTCCTCTCCTTCACTTGTCACCATCAACCCTTCTTGAGACGGTAGTTCACCCTCAAGTGATCTCCAACTGCCTACTGAATGAATACCCTCTTGCTTATATAATGCTTTTAAAGATGCAACCCTTCTGGACATTTGCCTCTTTCCAAGGCTTCCAAAAAGTTTAATGTCTTTCCATTATCCAGTATCTGATTCCTTTCTATTCTATCTATTCCAGGGCTAAAGACTAATATCCTTCTATAAGGCAGAAAAGTATCCCCAAAGTGCTAATCAGAGGGCCAGGGATCCTAAAAGTTAGGAGGATAGATTAAAAGATTTCCATGTTTTCTGCGGTACCTGGGTAGCTCAGTCGGTTGAGCATCTGACTCTTGATTTCAGTTCAAGTTATGATCTCAGGGTGGTGGGATCAAGCCCTGAGTTGGGCTCTGAGTTCAATGGGGAATCTGCTTCTCTCTTTCTCCCTTTCCCTCTACTCCTGCCCCAACGCGATCCCTCTCTCTCTCAAATAAATAAATCTTAAAAAAAAATTCCATGTTTTCTCAGAATTATTATTGTTCATCCAGCACTAAAAAGACACATGAAGGGAGATACAAACTTCAGACTTCAAGTGAACACTAGTTCAATTTATTATTAAATTATTTTAATTTATTATATGAATTATTGAATAATTATTACTCAATAATTTAACCCTGAGTTCAGTTTAACAGAGTGTGATAATAGAGCATGCTGGGAATTACACAGACAGCTCAGGAAGGTGCCCAAATAGTGGTGGGCCAGGTAAGTTTAATTCGACACAGGGCCCTTGATATTTCTGAAGTCTGATCTTCTACCTAAATGGTAAATATCTACTGACTGATTGACTGATCTAGAACTGACTATGTGCATGACACCATTATATGAGGAGCATCATGCAGTTACTAGGCTTTGCTACTTTTAGGGCTGGATTAGTTATGATCTAGAGTTAGGGACTGAAGACATTTAAAATCTTTCCCCATGACTGGTTCCACCACTACTTACTGGCAAAAAGCTCCACTCCTGAGTCTTGGGGTCATATTTCTCTACCACATCGATGGGAGACTGCTGGCTTCCGAAGCCCCCAACCACCAGAAGCACTTCATTGGCTCCTGAGGACAAAGAGAGAAAAAGACAGATAGGTTACTTCACCACCCCAGGGGAAACATAAGTAGAAACAGTCATAGGATTTTGTTTTATGTGGCGCAGAGAAGCAATCTGAAATAGGACATTCATCATAAGGCTGCCTAACAGGAAATAATTTCTTTCTGAGGCTCTAGCTCTTGAGGACCTGGATCTTAAATTTCAAGACATTAAAACTCCAGAAGGCAAACTTGAACACACCACACCATTCCAACCTATCTAGATGACTCTGGTTGACATAAGTGAGGTTCTCAGTGAAGCTAGGGGGCTAAACGAACTCCCATCCCTTCTCAGCCTGTAAAACTCAAAATGGGAGTTTTTTGTAATGGGGAAAGAACATTCTCCTAACGTTGTCTCAAGAAAGTTAGAAGTTACGGTTTAAGAACCAAGTGATAGATTTTTTTTTTAAAGATTTTATTTATTTGACAGAGAGAGACAGAGCACAAGTAGGCAGAAAGGCAGGCAGAAAGAAGGGGAGAAGCAGGCTCTCTGCTGAGCAGGAAGCCTGATGTGGGGCTCCATCCCAGGACCCTGGGATCATGACCTGAGCTGAAGCAGCCGCGTAACCGACTGAGCCACCCAGGCGCCCCCAAGTGATAAATTTTTAAAAATCTCTTTAAATTTTTCCAATTTAGCCAACTTTATGACCACGTTCCCTGCCAATTCATCACAACTGCCAGGTAATCATAACAGTAGGCTTTTAACGAGACTTTTTTTCTACTATTTTCCCAAAAAAGGTATTTTGATGGCCTTTATATCTTCCCCTCTCCCATAGGTCTTCTTGCGATAAAATATCTCCTCCTTGGGGCGCCTGGGTGGCTCAGTTGTTAAGCGTCTGCCTTTGGCTCAGGTCATGATCCCAAGGTCCTGGGATTGGGCCCCGCATCGGGCTCCCTGCTCCGCGGGAAGCCTGCTTCTCCCTCTCCCACTCCCCCTGCTTGTGTTCCCTCTCGCTCTCTCTGTCAAATAAAGAAATAAAATCTTAAAAAAAAAAAAAAATCTCCTCCTTTGCCTCTTTCCAAAGAGCAAAGTCTTTTGAGAAAATCCTCTGTACATGTGCTCTACTAGAGCTCATGGAGAGAATGGAGCATTTTGTACAATTCAATTACTAGAAGGGCATTGAGGAGATCAAAGTGATCTCTTAAGTAACTGGACTTGAAAGAGCAAATGGAGTACCTTTAAACTGACAAAAACACAGATGCCCCCCCATGAATAATGGCTTGGAAAATTATAATCAATGGCTACTCTAATCACTAGGGAAAAGCAAAACTACTACTTTATAATGCTCAATAGGAAGTACACCACCATCACCAATGACGTGTTCTTGCTAAAAAAAAAAAAAATGAACCCGAATCTTGAAACTAAGTCACTAGTCTAACCACCAGTTTATAGGCAATTCAGGGGACAGAAGAACATACTAAATGACACTACATGGATGCAATCAGCAAAATCCAGAATACGGGAAATTCTACAAGTCAAACAGCCTGGTTTCTTCAACAAATAAATTGCAAGGGAATACAAAAGTAGAAGGGAAAAACCTATGGATTAAAAGAGACTAAAGAGAGATAGGAACTCAATGCAACATATGGACCTTATCTGGATCACGACTGGGGCAACATAAGTATTCAAAAACAAAACCTGGGGAAATATGAACATGTCCTTGATATCTGATGAAAATAAATAACTGGTTGTGGGTTTTCTTTGAAGAGTGATAATGGCATTTTAGATGCATTTTTAAAAAGCTCCTTATCTTTCAGAGATACACATGAAAGCATAATATAGGGTGCCTGGGTGGCTCAGTTGATTAAGCGACTGCCTTTGGCTCAGGTCATGATCCTGGAGTCCCAGGACTGAGTCCCCCATCGGGCTCCCTGCTCAGCAGGGAGTCTGCTTCTCCCTCTGACCTTCTTCCCTCTCATGCTCTCTACCATTCTCTCAATAAATAAAAATCTTTATTAAAAAAAAAGAAAGCATAATATATATGGATGGAATTATATGCCCTAGATTTGCTTCAAAATAGGCCATGAGTTGATAATTGTTGAAACTGGATGATGGGTATTGGGAATCATTATATTGTTTCTGTGTGTTTGAACATGAACCCTTAAGTTTAACCTCATTAAAGAGGGCATCTGTCTTGTGTACTTGCCAAATAAAATAAGTGGACCCTTTTCCAAGGTGATCCAGTAAGGTCTCAGGTGTCAGTCAGTTCCTTTTAGAAAAGCAAAGCATTTGAACAAAGGGTCCTTTCATACTATGCTTATTTGTGCATAAAATTCCCTCAAGCTGGGAGAGGCCACGACCACAAAGTATTTGCTTCTTCCTTGGGAGTATTATTCCCCTATTTGTCCCTTAGCATCTCTTCTCTCCCTTTGACTTGAATAGAGAAGACAAAAGCAATCCTATCCAAACACATTTCCCTTTATAGACAAATATGCTAGGGCGCGCCTGGGTGGCTCAGCTGGTTAAGTGTCTGACTCTTGATTTTGGCTCAGGCCATGGTCTCAGGGTTCTGAGATTGAGCCCTTTGTCAGGCTCCATGCTGTGTTTGGAGCATGCTTAAGATTAATTCTCTCCCTCTGCCCTCCCCCAAAAATAAAAAAAAATAATAGATCTAACTCTTTTTAAAAAAAAGTGATGCTAGTGAATGATATCTATATGGCTAAGACAATGAAAATACTCTGCAACTGAGAGGTATTTTATATGCTTTGCACATTTAAAAAATTTCCACTGATTTTCAGCTGTAATTTCTGTTGCTTTATGTAATTCCCAGAAACAAAAAATGACAACAACAACAAAAAACCTAGGGGAAAAAAGCACTCTTTCTTGATAATGTGATTGCACTCAGGCAGCTTTTGAAGGATGGGGACATAAAAAAAAAAAAAAAAAAGGAAATATTTAGATTATGCTACAAAACCCAGAGAACTGACAGCACTTCCTCTTATTTCAAAGTTTCTCAGGAAACATTCTGGTAACTCTATGTCTACAGTGGGACAGGGACAAAAGTCTCAGTGTGAGTCACTCAATTATTTTATGGTTCTAAATGCCCGGGGCCCTAGACCACTGGTTCTGAAATTTCTTTGCCACGAAGGACTCTTTTCATTACTTTCCCAAGAGAGACCTTGTGTTCTCAAAGACTAGCTACTAACTTCCCCATTGCTGCTGGAGTTACATATAAGTGCCAATAGAGCTTTTGGTAAGTATGAGAACACCACTGTTTTCACAATGAACAGATATTTTAGTCAATTTTGATTTTTTTTTTAAGATTTTACTTATTTATTATTATTCTTTTTAGAATTAGGGGTAGAACACAGCTTTTTTTTTTTTTTTTAAAGATTTTATTTATTTCACAGAGAGAGACATAGTGAGAGAGAGAACACACGCAGGGGGAGTGGGAGAGGGTGAAGCAGCCTTCCCGCAGAGCAGGGAGCCCGACGCGGGGCTTGATCCCAGGACCCTGAGATCATGACCTGAGCCGAGCAGACGCTTAACGACTAAGCCACCCAGGCACTTCTATTATTATTATTTTTTTAAAGATTTCATTTATTTATTTGACAGAGAGAGACACAGTGAGAGAGGGAACACAAGCAGGGTGAGTGGGAGAGGGAGAAGCAGGCTTCCTGCTGAGCAGAGAGCCCAATGCGGGGCTCGATCCCAGGACCCTGGGATCATGACCTGAGCCAAAGGCAGACGCTTAATGACTGAGCCACCCAGGCGCCCCAATTCTGATGTCTTTATTTAGCTTTGTCTAGCACGAAATCCATTTTTTTTTTTTAGAAAATTTGAGAAATAACTCGAGGATTAGTATAATTGTCATCCTTACTTGCATATTAACCCCCATTGGTTAAAAAGATTTAGAAATTGTATTTCTTGGGCACCTGGGTGGCTCAGTTGTTAAGCTGCTGCCTTCGGCTCAGGTCACGATCCCAGAGTCCTGGGATCGAATCCCACATCGGGATCCCTGCTCAGCGGGAAGCCTGCTTCTCCCTCTCCCACTCCCCCTGCTTGTGTTCCTGCTCTGTCTCTGTCAAATAAATAAATAAAATCTTAAAAAAAAAAAAGAAATTGTATTTCTTGTGATTATAAAACATAAGTAAAATACATGCTTACTGCTAAAAGAACTTAGAAAATACAGACAAGTATTGTGAAAAAGGTTTACCCATAATTCCACAACACGAAGACACATCAAAATGTAAGAGATTATTCCCTTCCAGCCTTGTTTCTAAATATTTGTAAAACATAAATGGGACCATATTTATTGTACCCTGTTTTTATTTTTTTATGATTTTTTTTTTTTTTTTTTGTTTTAGTTTTTATTTTATCTTTATCAACTGAACTCTGCCATCCAGCTAGACCTGGGCAGAAGGAACCATGGAGCCCACAGAACTGCAGCGAGGGCACAGAGATTCTGGGGTACTTCA